AATTTTTTTAGGGAAAATGACCCTCTCTTTCTCGGAAGTTCGAAACGTCTCTTTCTTGGAAATTCTTAAAACTTCCAAAATTCATATCTCAGTGAGTTTTTCGATTTGAGACCTAATATTTTGCAGAAGTTCATTACTTGGTGGTCTGATCAAGAAAAAAATTTATCATCAAAATCCGAGTCGGGCGGTTGCATGGCTGGTAGGTTCTATATGGAATGACCCATCAGACAGTTTTGGAGTCTAGGAAAAGCATGAAAGTCAGGGGAAGTCAGGGAATTTGAAGATGAAGAAATTATGATACAAGCCCGAATTTACTCCTGTTGGAACATTATTGGTACAGTAATTAATTCCCTCACATAAAGTAATTTTAGTGTAAGTATCCATTAAATACTTATTTTCTTTTTTTTTTGTAGGTATCCCATCGAAAAGGATTACCACATGTCATTTACTGCAGAGTCTGGCGATGGCCTGATCTGCAGACACATCATGAGCTTCGTCCAATGGAACATTGTCAGTACCCATTTTCAGCTAAACAGAAGGACGTCTGTATCAATCCATATCATTACAGACGTGTTGAAAGTCCTGGTGAGTAACCAACTGAGCTTGCCCAGCTGTATGAAGAAAAATACAGATATGCTGCATTTCTATGATACTCTTCAGGAATTAAACACTTTTTATTTAATTAAAAAAAGAAATAAGAGAGTATTATCAACATTTTACAGAATAAGCCACGAATTATTTTTCCTAGCAATCAGTCTCCTTGATTTTTGGCCTGACGCACTTAGCGTATCTCCGTTAAACCGTTGAATTAATGTTCAATTCTCTTCAAAGTAACCAGAGTTTTTTACTTTTAAAGCAATGCTGCTTCTGGAGCACAACTGTACCATTGTTTAGAATAGTTTTAGATTAATATTTTTAACAGAGAAAAACTCGATTACTCAGTTATTTTATCTGGGCAACGCAAAGTTTAAGAAAATGGTGCCGATTTTCTAGCACCTGTTTTCTAATCGTCATTCACCAATCAATTGGTTTTATTTTAAAATATCTATTTGAAAAAATTTCTAATATCACTTACATGATGATTCTGGGGGGAAAAAAATGGATACCTTTTCAGAAGATGAGATTTCCCGTAGCAAGTCTTCTGTATCCATCTGCTTCAGGGGAAAAAAATAAGAATGAATTTTCTCTCTGGTATGCATATTTTGGAAGGACATCAAATCATCCTAACAGAGGAAATACTTTTTAAGAATCTGATATTATTTACTGATACTGTTTCAAGTCCCTGCTGACTATTCTATTCTATCCCCCAACGGAATGTCATGAGGAGTAAATCGCAATTCTTTAGTAGCGTTGGAGTAGGAGTTGGAAGCACTGTTCTCTGTGTTGAAATGTATTGAAGAAAGCCATTGTTACGTTTCAAATGAAGGACAACTTTGTCATTGATCTTCCATTGAAGATCAACTCTAAGATGCAGAGGGGTTAAGTACACCCAGCTTCCCTAAATGACACCCCGGTTTCTATGAGTTCTTATTTCTTTCTTCCTTTTTAGTCTTGCCACCCGTCCTCGTGCCACGCCTGAGCGAATTTCCACCTGGTCACTCTCTGCTCTCTTACCAACAGACTTCAGAGCCAATGCCACATAATGTATGTTACAGAGGCAATGGCAGTGGTTTCAGTCAGCCAGTATCGCCTCAAAATTCTGTAAATTCCAATCCTCGGAGTCCGTTTGAAACAAATGGTGCCTCAGGTACGTGCCTTTTACCAAAATAGTCCTAACTAGCAGCTATTTTAAAGTTAGATATCTTTCCTTGTTTTACTAACAATATTAACCAACTGAAGTTCCAAAGAATTCGGTCAAGTAGTGAATAAAGTTCATTTTCTGTTCTTTCTAGTGAGAATTGGATAGACTGCTACATGGCAACCTTGCATTTAATTTTGTGAAAAAACTAGGGGGCTCTGCCTCCTGATCTACACGGCCAAACCCTCGGGGAGCTGCGCGCCCCAAAAGGCCCTCCTCGCAGCCAGCAAAATTGTCAAAATCGCCTGTTGGCGGTCAATGAGCAAATAATTTTAATTGAACAACAAACCAATGTTTAAAAAAAAAAATTTCCGCCCATGACTTTCTCCTTACTCTGAATTTTGATTCCTCCTTTGGAATTAGACCTTTGGACCGTCGAACTTTCCTTCCTCACCCGATCCATCAAGCATCTCAAAAATGATTTTATTAGAATAGAGAGGATATTTCAATTGTCTATATTGCTCCGCAAATTTTAATACCAAAACGATCTTTGCGACAGATTTGTTTTTTAAGCTTGTTAGGATGTTATATAAAGTGTAAAATTGCATTTTGCTTTTCAAATAATACCATTAATAGTATAAACCCGTGTCTGTGAAGCAGTATACTTTCATTATTCCCCTGATATCTTTAAAGTTCATTTTTTGCCTCAATATTTGAGTTTGAATTTGATTGTGCAACAATCCCTTATATCATTTTTCTATTTCAACTGGTTTTCTCTACGAATCACTTTACTACGTATCACTATACTCATTCACATGTGATACCTTTCATATACTCATCAGGTCAAAGTAAGTTTCCAAATTTTCATCACCGTTAATTGATGTTGTTCCTTTTGTTTTTTCCAGAATCCCCTCCTGGCTATTCGTTCAGTCCAGACAGTGATGAGGGCTCAAATATATCTTCTTTTACCAATAATCCATCATCAATGGATACTTCGACAGATGTTGCCTCTGTGCCTTATCAGGTATCCTTATATTTTCCTCTTGTGTAACCCTAAAATTCAGTCCTAAGTATGCAGCTTTTCATCTCCGTAGCAGTGCTCAAACAACTTGAAATTCTAATTGTGAAATATTTCAATACTTTCCCGCACGTTGCACATATTTGCCTTTATTTGATTGATCCAGACTGTATTTTTTTAGAAAAAAGGAATAAGTCATAGGGGGTGAGAATCGTTAACACTTAGATCAATTGTTTAGCTGCAGTAAAACATACTTCATAATTCTGGAGGTTGTTTTTTTTTAGCTCAAAGACATTTAACAAAAATAAATTCGAAAGAGCTTTCTGTCCTTTAAATGATGATCAATCAATTTTTGAAATATTATAAATCTGTGAAATTTTTATTTAAATTTATACTATCATTAATACCTGTGTGAAATGGATTTTTCTCCAAAAGTCTGCTATAATTGTGATAACTCCTGTCGGGTTTTATTTTTTAATAACTCAATTTCGATTTTTTTTTCTTCTCCATTTTGAGGGAGGAATGTCACATGCGCAAAGTTTTATAATCAACCAGCTGATCGTCGAAACAATTATCAATAAATGTGCGTATACATTCCTAATTATACTATTCCCTGTGCAGGTATGTTGCTTCGATTTTTACGATGTCTCAGAATGATCGAAACGCTTGTAACAGGGAAAAGGATGCCAAAAAATGTGCATCCATTCCTTCCGTACAGAATTAGAGGTTGATTTTTTTGTGGGAAATTTATTGTAAACGGAACGACTTTCATGTTTCAGGAGCCTGTATACTGGGCAAGTATTGCCTACTATGAGCTGAACAGTCGAGTCGGTGAAGTTTTCCACTGTCAAGATTACTCAATCAAAGTGGATGGATTCACAAATCCAAACAACAATCATAATCGATTTTGTCTCGGTCAGCTCTCGAACGTCAATCGCAATTCCACCATCGAAAACACACGAAGGCACATCGGAAAAGGTAATCAACTGCAAAAGTTTCCACAAAGTTTTTTAATTTCAAATTCCCAGCAACTTCAAATATCAGGTTACTGAAGTGAAGGGAAACTGAATGCAGTCAGAAAACTTTATGATAAAAAAAAGGATCAGGGAAAAGCAAGGAAAGCTTTGGACCAAAAATGCTGCTTCTGAAATCTCTCCAAGTAATTCTATGCCTTTGCTGATTGTACATTTTTTCTTTTACAATATCAAGGCAAAGTTAGGGGATTTTGGTGCTGACGGTAGAGGATTCTTCTGGTGAAGACAAGGATTTCAACTTAATTGTAAAAGTCGTGGAAGTACTGGAAAGTCTTTGGGCTTTGAAACTTGGGCATTTTGCCTGTGAATGAAGCGTCATCTTGTTGTAGTTTACGAGAAAAAAAACACTAAAAGTGTGGCCTGAATACTGTGAGCAACAGGATGGTAAAATAGTGCTGGGTCCACACTATTTTGGGAAATTACAGCAAACAAATTAGCATTAATACCAAATGAACTCTAATGAGTTTCTGTGCAAGACTGAATGGGAGGATTTCTAGGCTCTAATTTCCCTTCAGAATTGTGTACTAGCACTTCACCATCAAGTTACTTGTAATGAGGCGTTTTGAAAACAAATTGGGTATTTTTGATAAATGTCCTTAATTTCCTACTCGACAAAAAGTCTGAAAAAGTCCTTGTTTATTTGGTTAGTAATCTGGCAAAAACTTTGCTAGAGTCATTTTGTTTTGTTTTGGCTGTATGAACCTTGTTTTCACAGATAGAACGCAGGAAAATGACTGATACTTCTAAAGGTTTATCTCACCCATCGTAAATAATCAAGGTTGTGGCCAAGTATGTAAAAGCTAAATTTTTCTTTCCTTTCTTTACAAACAGGAGTCCATTTGTACTACACAGGAAGTGAGGTTTATGCAGAATGCTTGTCAGACTCTGCTATCTTTATTCAGTCTCGTAACTGTAATCACCACCATGGGTTTCATCCGTCCACAGTCTGTAAGATCCCGCCCAACTGCTCTCTCAAAATCTTCAATAATCAAGAATTCGCCCAGCTTTTGTCACAGTCTGTAACTCATAGTTTTGAAGCTGTTTATGAACTCACAAAAATGTGTACAATCAGGTGAGTAAACTTTACATCTCTCCCGGTTTTTCTGTTTAAAAATTTTCTCTCCTCTATTGTTTAGAGATCCTGCTAAGGATCTAGGAAGATGGCAGTTCAACACTTATTACTATTTAACTCTGGTGATGCATTAAATCAATACACATTGAAGCTTCAAAGCTTAAAAAACACTTCTACTACAACTATCGTCTTGGCCTTAGGCTCTCATGAATATACTATCGCTCAAAATCTAAATATTTATACATATTTTATCAAAATTTATAGTTTTGATCCAAGTCTTAATTTGAAAAACTTGGAATGCGCCACACAGCTGGAAACAAGTCTGAAGCCTAGTGTTGGAGCTAGAAAAGCATGTTTTCATTTAAAAAAACTTGTCTCTACTTTTTAAATAGTTTTTTTCTTCAAACTGACTAACTTTTTCCTCCATTTTCAGGATGTCTTTCGTAAAAGGATGGGGAGCAGAGTATCATCGCCAAGACGTTACGTCCACTCCTTGCTGGATCGAAATCCATCTGCATGGTCCGCTTCAGTGGCTCGACAAAGTTCTCACCCAAATGGGCTCGCCACATAATGCTATATCTTCTATTTCGTGAATATGTATCCATATGTTTGCATGATGACATGCCAATTTTTCCTATGTTATTTCGTTCCCTTCCTTAGTTCTTAGTGTACAGTATTCATTGTGATATCAAGTGACTTTTTTTTTAAAGAAAAACTGTGGAAGTGAAGTGTCTTCCATCTATATTTAAGTCATATACTGAATCGATTATTTTATCCAATATTTCTTGATCGTCTTCCCAAAATTCTCATCTATGAGGATATTTTTTTTTTCAACTGTGTATGTTATCCATTCCTGGAATAAATGGGAGTAATGTGCTTTAATGACGGTACTGTTTGTAGGTCTAGAAGATTCCTGACTATGTCACATTGATTAGTTCTTATTTCTAGCAAATTTTTATTGTCCCAGAATTTTAACAACACACCACGCTTTGAGCAAGATTTAAATTTTCAACATGCCGTGAGACTTAATCGATCAAAAAGTCCAAACTAATCAAAGCAATTTATTTTCAGCTTATCATTTCAACCTCCTGTAGAACCACTCTAAACTAACTGATTTTGCATATGACCAACTATGTAATGATCTCTGAAAGTCTATTTTAGCTTAGTATGAAGTACCTCACCTTTGATCTCAAAGGCAGGAATTCATTTTGTTCATTTTACAGAGAACAAATGCCCTTTTCATTTCCTTAATCATCCATTATACATTCATTAATCAGTATGAATCACAAGGAATTTTTAGCATGATATCCTCAGAATGGTTACCTTGATTTTGATTGCATGTCAGAGTATGTGACATGTATTTTAATAAAGGGCAATGCTCTCACCAAACCCTGTCATTAATATTTTTAGATAAGATCTGCTTTTTTATTGACGCCTTAAATTTAAAGTAAGTTTGTGTGCTTCAATAGTTTTTCTATTTGTATTTAAGAACTGAATAATTGTATAACTTAAATGTTTAAAAAAATCGAATCATTAGTATGGATTGGTCCATAAATTAACTATCACTGAAGGAAGTAAGAGGTGTCTTTACTATATATGTGTATATAAATAGGCTCCTTGTAAGTAGAGAACCCCTTGTTGAAGGTCTGAGATTGAGACTTCCTTGATATTTTTTTTTTATTGAAAGCTACACAATTACGCTAATTCTAGTTGTGTTACTTGTGGCAGCATCAAATTTTTTCACAAATATCAATCTTTAATTTTAAACAAACAGAGGGTAGAGGCCTTGTTATGATTTCCATTTAAGCATTCATAAGGAACCTATAGCCATGATCGATGTATATTTTCTGTCTGTGATTTTGTGCCTACTTTATTTTATACTTTTAATACATTCTTTTTTATACAAACTTCATGTCTCATTTGGGTACGATTTTATGTGTCCTAACCTTATGGGGGTTTGGCAGCTGACGAGGTATGGTTGATGGTTGGAACAAATGCCCATGTTAGATCTCTGGTAGAGAGTCCGACCAAAAATGTAGATTTCTAAATTAGAGGATGAATGAGGATGCCAAAAATCAATTTTTTTTATCAACAAAAAATATATACATTCTAGCGCCCATCTAACTGCATTACTCTGAAATTTTAGAAACATTTTGAAAGACAAGAAAAACAGCCGCTCTCAAAAAGTTGCCTTTGGCGCTTAGCTCATCATATATGTCACGATTGTCACTCCTTCTCTTGAGTAAGAAAAAGAAGAAAGGAAGGAAAGAAACAACCTCGTCTGCTTTACATAACTTTTCTATTTTCGCTGTAGGTAAAAATGGAGTGTGGAATTCTGTACTCCATGCATACAGCAAAAAAGAAAAAGTAATCTGTAACAGGTTCTAATAAATTTAAAATATTTCCTGATTTCGGTCAATCAGAACTAATTTAATTAAAGCTCAAATATGTCAAATACAATTTTTTTGATAGTACCAAACCACATGTTGGCTTCTAATTTTTGAAACCCAAATGTCTCCAAAATATTCAATTTTTTAATTTAAGTAACTCGAAGGCTGACTGATATTTCAAATTAACATGTGGATGCCTCCAATGACAATGTCACTATAAAAACTTGTATCCCACATGCTTCAAAATAGCTGTTCTTACTTACCAAGAATCACCACATACATGGGCAAAATTCTAATGGGTAGAATATTAATGAGTGAACGAAAAAGACACCCAAAATGCTGTGGAATATTGATGATGACACATCCCTCAAAATGTTACAGAAAAACATGGAAAGTCGTCAACTAGGATGAGCGGTTTCATAAACTTGATTTCATCATTTGCGTGCTGAATCTCATATCTGGGTCTCATTCTTTGTAAATCGGGTAGGCAGCCTAACTATCAGTATGCTAATTGTGAGTAATAATCTTGTGAGTTTCGGCATTGTAAAGTCTGGATATTATTAGAAGTGATTTTAAAAAACCTTCAACATATTTGAGACCGCATCAAGGTACGCAATACATTTTTTTTTAAAATATTGGAAGGTATTAGGGATGGACGAATATCGAATTCGAATGCGATTATTTGAATATTTGAAACTTTTCAAATGCAATTATTTGAGAATTCGAATCTTGCGATTGCGAATAGTGCGGAAGCAAATATTCGAATATTTTCGATCATTGCTTCGATTTTTGATTTTTTATGAACCGTGAGAGAAAAATGACACTTTTGATACCTATGAATGCGATTATTTGAATATTCGAATGCTATTATTCGAATTTGCGATTGCAAATACTTCGGAAGCGAATATTCGAATGTGATGCGATTATCTCGGTGCCGATAATTCAAATATCGAATATTCGAATATTTAAATATTCGACCATCCCTAGAAGGTATGTTATGCACTTGGACAGAGCAGCGCTCGTGAGTTGAGAGCGCATATTTGAAACTACGCGCGATTTTTAGCTTCCCAACTCTACCGATGGTAGCGACACTTGTCCCAGCACCAAATAGTTGGTTCCGCGCACGCTAGAGTGCGACACAGACGTTTTATTGATCGGCGGCAACACGCGCGCCGTCGCATCACGCGTGAAAATCGGATGAAAACATGCTCCAGTCTGCCGTTATCTTGTGCCAATTTTCCAAACAAACGAAAGTTCGCTGTTTCGCGTTCGCTGAGTGATTCCCTTCCGTGCGTGAAATTTAAAATAATTAGCTACCTTCAAAGTCCTAATACATCGTTTATGTTAGCTTTATCCTCTTCTCCTTATCTTATCAACTACGCTATCTTTATCAGTGATAAGAAGTGTTCTTTAATATCTTTATCAGATTCCAATCGATAAGAATCACGTTCTGCCTTTCCATCTTTAGTGTCGCGAGATGCTCCAAAATGCGTGTCCTCCTCAGAATCCTTGAATAAGTTTACAATAATTTTGTGATCGTGCAGATCGGTGCCAATATTTTATTACGTGTTCCTTAAAAAAATGCATTTTCTGTGAAATTCCCTCAACCCACCCCAACGTTACTAAAAAGTGCGCGTACGCGTAATAGGATTACCGTCATGTTTCATCATAATGTGCATCTAATGGATTAATATCTGCTCATCTTGAAGTTTCATTCCAGAGGAACAATGGCTAATGTGAGTATTTTTCCCCTAGTTTTTTTTAACAGTCGTGATTTGCTAATTATTCAATTCGCACCGCACATGAGGGTGCTCCTGTTCAATGCAATGATTTGGGGGTGTACAGCTGTAGCTGTGCCTCTCCTGTTAAGTCAGGAAATTCATGACTCATGTATGACGTAGGGAATTTAGCCATGCACATGTTGATTATTTCTGCCATGAAATTCATTGGCACTTATGGTAGGTAAATCAAGGCAGCCTGCATCATGACGAGTACCGTTATGAAAAAATTTACCCAGTAGGTAATATCATTGAAATCAGTAGGTATGTTTGAGCTTCAATGTCAAATTTTACTAGGTACATGAGATACACCAAGATTTTGCACAGTTACTTGATCCGAAGAATTATTAAATGATCAGGCGATTTTGCCTCTTAGTTTTGGTCGCCAATAAATTGCTCTGTAGACAAAAGATGCCTTTTAACAGGACTCTCATGTGTCTAAAATATGGTATGACTATGTGCATGCAGTGTGATTCTTGAAATAATGTATTTTCAAGCATCTATCTATGTCAAAACAATCGATAAGCTCTTCATAAAATGCATAATCATCGAGGGTTCAGGCTTCCAAAACAGGGTGAAAATACAGCGGCAGTATGTAGAATAAAACGTAAATTTTCAAGAGCATGTTTTATTTCTACTCTGCCAATCTGATAATTACGCATACTTACATGGTGTTTTTCATGGTGAATTTTTTGATCAATTCTGTGTTTGAAAACATGAATTTATTTGGTTTCAACTTAGTCTCTGATGCTTGCTTTTGAGCCTCCGCTCACTCTCTCCTCTTAAAGTATGAAAATGAATAATGTTTATCCGACTTTTTGTTTCGATATCATCACAACACTTTTTAATCGAACAAAATAATCCAAAACTGACCTGCCACCGTTTTCTTTTAGTCTTGATGCTTTTTTCGTAATTCAAGGACTCAAGCCACTAGGGAATTTTATAGTGAACTTTTTGTACTTAAATTTATAGGTACTCAAGCATCAGGAAAAATGGTTGCAACTAATTTAATCAAGTGGCTTGCAGATGAACTTGAGCACCTAGGTCAAATTCTGATGACTGTTCCAATGCAAATTTCCACCTAGTCAAATCAAATTTTTTCTAAATCTTTGATGCCGGTTCTATTTGGAATATTAGTGAGGTCTAGGATATTTGAACGGATGTGTTACCGTCCACAGGAAAAGGGACAGTAGTTCACAGAGGATATATTTTCAGGAGAGAGAGGAGTAGAGTTGGGTAGGGAAATAATTGGAACCGAGACTTACTTAAATGGAACACTCTTTCCGGTGTCCTAAAGAAAAAGTTAAAACCATATGATCCCTTACCTACTACACCATGAGAAAGCGCAAAGTTGCATTTTAATCTGGCAGTCTCGTGCTCTAAACACAGCCTAGCTGTGAAAGTGCAGGAGTCTTGCATGGGCATTCTGAGTATTTTTTGAGGACATCAAATTTTTAGCGAGGGAATTTACTTCTACACTGGAAAAACAAACCACATTGGATCTAGAGTCCAGACTCTTAGAAACATCGACAAGAAAAAGTACTCTAGTTTCAATCAGAGTCTAGCTTAAATCAAGAACCGAGCCTCTTAATTTAAGCGGATTTCGTTTTGAATCAAGCAAAAATCCGATGGAATCAAGAGTATTTTTTCTTGTCAATGTTTTCAAGAGTCTGGACTCTAGATCCAATGTGGTTTTTTTTCCATTGTGGTTTTGTGGTAGCTAAGCCTAAACTACTCTTAAATCAATTTATTTGAAAATGTTTCATATCAAAGCTGCCTTTCGATACTCCAGCAGGGTAATGTAATACCTACTTATATTTTTCTCAGGAATGCTTCTTATTTCCCATTTTTTGAATCCCTACTTATTGTTAGTCCAAGTAAGTAAGTCATCCAAAAAACTCGTCGACGGATATGTAATTTTTCGAAAATTCGCTGAAGGGCGTTCTGCGGATCATGCCTGGATTCACCGGTCAGGTAACATAGGCAGTTGCTCAGGAGTCGAAGAAATGGGGGAGAGGGGGGGATATATTTTGGAGGGAATAAGAGGACGAGAAATAAATGCGTTCGGAATTGTTGTTTTTACAAAGTAACTGTCACCGACGTCATCATTTGAGGGGCTTAGAGGATAAAGCGCACAAGTGCAGTTTTTGCTATTTCGGGTAATACGTGTTTGAGGTTTCGAAATTTAGTGGATTTTTCAAAAATCGGTATTTGGGAGCAAATTTCGCACAGCAAACACATTAAGACTAGTTTTGCTCGAAATCATCAATACTTAAGTATCTCGAATTTTTCAAAAACTGCACCTACGCGCCTTATCCCACCAAGCCCCTCATTTGACGATTCTCCTTTTCCCCAGGACCCTGTTGGTCCTCAGGTAATTTTTTTCGCCGGAACCACACACTGGAAAAAAAAACACATTGGATCTAGAGCCGAGACTCTTGAAAACATTGACAAGAAAAATTACTCTCGATTCAATCGGATTTTTGCTTGAATCAAAACGAAATCCGCTTAAATTAAGAGGCTTGGTTCTTGATTTAAGCTAGATTCTGATTGAATCAAGAGTAGGTACTTTTTCTTTTCGATGTTTTTAAGAGTCTGGACTCTAGATCTAATGTGATTTTTTTTTCAGTGCAACGGTCTGGGGGCGATAAAAAGTCGAATCTGGGCATACCCCGAAGCCCAGACCATTGCTCCTCGCAAACTGCATTTTAAGCAGGAGAATCTCTGGCATTTCTGACAAAGAGTTTCACTGATTTTTCTTCTGCGGTCCCGCAAGAATCAGACAAATTTTGGGCACAAATTGCTCAGGTACATTTTTGTAAAAATCTGAATTATTTAAGCCAATTTTGCGATCTTGGAATGGACTTGCGCCCCTTCGTCCGGGAAACGACGAATTCCTTCCCGTCAGACTTGGGTCTCAAACCCCGGCGATGACTCACGAGCACGACTAGCCTCACAGTGGATCGAGTCAATTAGAGAGATCGAACGTGAAATATTTTACTAAAATTGCAAATTTTCATGTTTATCTCATTAAATTTCAAGGGGTGCTTCTGGAAGAAAATTTAACGAGAAAACCAATGGAACTACTTTAAAATCTCACAACTTTTTATGAACGGCAGAGGCGGCTCCAGCAATTTGGCAACACCTGATTTCCTCCATTTGGACCGCATTAAACAGAAAGGAACCAAGCCTCATCAGCGATTGCCAAATTTAACTGGGCAATTTAATTTTTAACATAAAAACAATCCCGCGGATTTCGTGCAAATTTCAGTGAAAAATCTCCATAGTTCGAAGGAAATTCCTAAAAAATTTCAAAGTAATCCGCACAAACGTTTTCTGTTGAAAAATTTAATTGCCCGGTTCAATTCGACAATGGCTGATGTGGCTTGGTTCCTTTCTGTTAAACTCGGTCCATTTAAACCTATGCTAAATAATCGATTCTTGTCGGAGCACCTGGTCCATCCAAGAATCGATAAATTTCCATAGGTTTAAACGGAGGAAAGACAACGTTGCCAAGTTGGATCCGCCAATGATGAGCGGAGTTGTAAGCTTTTGAAGTACCCTGGAAAAAAAAAAACACATTGGATCTAGAGTCCAGACTCTTGAAAACATCGACAAGAAAAAGGACTCTTGATTCAATCAGATTTAAGCTTCAATCGGAAGGAAATCCGCTCAGGTTAAGAGGCTTGGTTCTTGATTTAAGCTTAAATCTGATTGAATCAAGAGTATTTTTTCTTGTCGGTGTTTTTAAGAGTCTGGACTCTAGATCCAATGTGTTTTTTTTTCCAGTGTAGGTATCCACATTTTGTCCGAGTTCTCCCATCGACTTGATCTCCTGTGAGCCGCGGCGGAAAAACGTATTGGTGGCCAGGCGCGGTTGGCCGAGGCGCGGAGAGAGTTTTCTCACCTTTTCCTCGGCGAGAAAATTCCTGGGCGTCATTGTCCGTCACTTCCTTGAGAAGAGAGTGCGCGCGATGATGGCGGACTGTGGCGAGCGCGGATCAGCGTGGAGGCTCCACGCTCCCCGGTGGAGCGCAGCGCAGCATCGGGAGCAGCGGATCGATCTGCTTCGCCTCCGCGCCGCTAATGAACCTTGAATCCATTGGAGTTGGATGCTGTGTCCCCCGTACCCTCTAATGTACCCCTTTTGACTCCATTCGCTTTGTGTCGAGTCTGTGCTGCGCTCTCCAGGAGCTAGTAGTGCTCTTGACGAGCTAGTAGTGCTCTTAACGTCTTGGAAGTCCTCGAATATACCTCGAAATAGAGTCCCTTTATACCCAGAGTTAAGAAAACTCGATTATCAGCTGACTTGCAGCCGGCCTTGGCTGGCCATGGAGGCCGAAACGAGTGCACCCAAACGAACGATATTGAGATATAAGGATCAGGAATTCTGCGATGTCTGTCACACAAAAACAACATCAACAAATTGATCAATTGAAAAGAAAATGAGATTGGTTTGTGAATAATTTCTTAATCTATTTTCATTTTGGACCGATGGAAATAACAATTTACTCTTGATAAACCACAATTAGATGATATTTTCATTATTCTTGTTCACATTCGAGGTACCGCCATCTTGGTGCACTCGTTTCGGCCTCCATGAGCGAGAACCAATCAGAATTGGATTTTTTTTTAGGCCACTTTCAGCCGAACCAAAAGTGAGTTGTCTTAACTCTGGGTATAAAGGGACTCTACCTCGAAATGAATCGAGTTTATTAGGCCTTGTCTCCACGAGCCGTTTCACGAGATTTGTCCCAGGGAAAAATCCTACTTACCAAGTTGGGAAAAATATTGAGTTAATCAATATTTTTCCCAGTACCAAGTATGGTACATTGGTACTTGTACCCCTAGGACCCACTGAGAGAAGAAGAAGAAGTGAAAACGAATTGTGCGATATTTTATTCATTACTACATTGCTAATGTTTGTTTAGTTAAAATAACGTGTCTAATTGTCAATT